AAATGGTGGCACCATGAATGGAAGGAGCCGGGATCCCTGAGTCACGGTTTGGAAGGCTGTCAGCCAAGTATCTGATTGGAACTGTAATGCCAGTGAGATGTAAACCTTTTATTGTGTTAAGTCATAATATTAAGAATTGTGTTAATTGAGGGTTGCTCTCTGCCCCTCCCCTCCCCTCCCCACTCTCTCTCACTCTCATACTCTCCCCCTCTAAAAAAAGAGAGAGAGAGAGAGAGAGAAATGAGGGTTGCTCTTTGTAACAGCTGACTTACCCTAACACTAGTTCCACTCTTGCCCCTCCCGGTGTCTTCTATTCTTCTCACAGATGCCAGTGTAATTTTACTACAAAACACATCTGAGCATATCACCATCTACTACTCCGGAAACACAAAGAGATGAAAATTCTTAAGTGCCTGCCTTGACCTTAAGAAAGTTCAGAATTCTAAAGATGGCCTACAAGTTCTACCCAAGTTGAACTTTCCCCTGATCTGTCCCTATTCATTCATTCATTCATTCATTCATTCATTCATCCATTTATTTATTCAGTGAATGCATATTGAGCACCAACGATGTGTCTATAGCTATACTAGGTCTGGGGATGGAGTAGAGGCAAGAGAGAAAAAAAGACAATCATTTGGGAAGCTATCCTATTTGCCCAGAAAAAAAAAAAAAAAAAGATAGTGAGGACCTGAGCTACAGCATGTCCCTAGGCTCTAACTCCAGCTCTGATGACACTTAGCAGATAAATCTAACCATGGTGTCTGAATTGGAGAATTTTTTGGAGGGATATTGATGAGCAAAACCCTGAAAACCCAAGTTCTAGCCTAGCACAAAGAGGTTAATAGGATAATTTGAAGACAGATATTTACTTGCAATGGACAGCATGAACGAGGGGAGGGGTAGATCCAAGATATTTGAGGAAGTACACTTGGCAGGATTTGGGAACTGACTATGGAGAGTGAGTAGAGACACCTTGGGTAGAGTTCCAGATGGCAGGTTGTGGTGAAAAACTGATCTAGGCAGAGATAATGAGCTTATGCCAATACCACAATGTGTTGATGACTATAGCTTTGTAGTAAGTTTTGAAATCAAGAATTCTGAATCCTCCACCTTTGTTCTTCTTTCCCGAGATTGTTCTAGCTATTCTGGGTTCCTTGAGTCTCTGTACAAAATTTACAATCATTTTGTCAATTTCTACAAAGAAGCTAGCTGAGATTCTGATTGCAATTACAATGAATTTATAGACCAGTTCTGGGAGTATTGCTATGTGATCAATCTTATCTTCCAACTCATGAACACAGGATGCTTTTCCATTTATTTAGGTTTTTAATGTCTTTCAACAATTTGTCATATTTTTCCCCATACAGATTTTGTCCTTCTTTTGTTAAACTTATTACTATTTTATTTTGATGCTATTGTAAATGGAATTGTTGAATTTTGTTTTCAAATTGTTCGTTGCTAATGTATAGAAATACAACACATTTTTGTATACTGACCTTGTATCCTGCCATTTTACTCACTCATTTATTTCTTCTCTTTTATATGGAAATCCCTTAGGATTAACCAACAGAAGAAGATCATGTCATCTGAGAAGACATAGCTTTAGTCCTTCATATTCAGTCTGGATGTGTTTGTTTTTTTCTTGCCCAATTGACCCAGCTAGAACTTTTAGTACAACGATAAATACCAGTGGCACAACTGGGTATCCCTTGTCTTGTTTCTGAACTTGGTGGGGGGAAGCTTTCAGTCTTCCACTGAGTGTATTAGATGTGGGTTTTCCTAAGTGCTCTTTATCAGGCTGAGCAAGTTTCCATCTATTCCCAGTTGTCTGAGTATTTTGGTTTGGTGTGTGTGTGTGTGTGTGTGTGTTAAAGCATGAAAGGGTGTTGGATTTTATCAAATACTTTTTATGTAACTATTAGTGTAGGGGCTTTTTTTTAGTTTATTGATATTGTATCCCAGTTTCTTTTTTTTTTTTAAGATTTTATTTATTTGACAGAGAGAGATCACAAGTAGGCAGAGGGGCAGGCAGAGAGGGGAGTGGGGCTCGATCCCTGGGCCTTGAGATCATGACCTGAGCCCAAGGCAGAGGCTTAACCCACTGAGCCACCTAGGAGCCCCTCCCCATTTCTTTTTTAAGCTAAAATCTCAGGAGGAGGCTCAAGATCAAAAACAGAGTGAGGGGATGCTCTGGTTGAAGCAAGAAGAGAAGCCTGGGGCCAGCCATTCCGTCCCAAGGAGCCCTGGGTCCACGGGAAACTAAGCCAGGGTCCAAAGAAGAGGAAGTGGCCCCCACAGCTCTCATCTAAAGTGCCTTGTGGGGCCCGGCTCTGTCAGCCAGTGAGGCCCTGACCCCCAGCCTCAGGAGGCCCTGGCTGGCAGGCCTGGCGGCTTATAAGCACCCCGCCACTCAGCCAAGCAGCTCAGGAGCATCCTGCACATTGCAGATTTGCCCTGGCATAGGGCTCCAGGGCCGACTCCCCCACTACCCCTCTGGCTGAAGGGTTCATCTGGGGGCTTTGGAATCCTTCACACTTGCCCCTTTTGACAGGATCCCTCCACTAAACAGTTCAGACCTGTGGCTACAGCAAAGCTTGTGCTTCCAGAACCTTGATTATAATCAACCCAAAACACAGAGGTTCAGTATCTCAAACAGATTGCAGACATCCCACTGATTACTTTTTGGGAAGACTGATTAAGAAATTTTATTACAGAAAATGAATGCATCCAATGCCCCAAGTACATTTGTGACAAGAACAGACACACAGGAGACACAGATAATAATTGCTACATCACAGCCTTGTTCTTTCCAAAGGATAAAACTCCATTCAAAAATGGGGTGAGAGGGTTGGGAGAGAGGTGGTTAGAGAAAGCAGGTACTGTCCTTTTGATTTTAAAAAAGGAACGGGTTGGCATTACGAGATCACATATTCCGGGCCCAGTAATCAAGTTGAGCCGAAGACTTAGGTGGTGACACCATGCCACTTGTAACGTCTCAGAGAAGCTACAGAGCATCCTTCCATTAAAAGGAGCAGTCTTGTGCTGGGGTGAAAATGTGGGGCCAAGCAGCCTTAACTGGAATTTCTTTAGAACTCTGTCCCCGTAGTCAAAGATCACGTAAGCAGCTCCCCCACTGGTTTAGCACAAAAAAGCAGGCACGAAAGTGTTACAACCATAGACACCAAGTTGAGCTTCTCTTCCAGATTCGATGAGGCTGACCAGTTCCCTAGTCTTAGCCTGCCACATCGCATGCTGGGCAGGAGGAAAGGGACAAGGGTATGGCTGAAGCAGAGGGGCAAACCTCAGGACCGAGGTTTTCAAATTAGTGGTCGTTTTGTAGAAGAGCTTGAAAAACACAGGACAAACAGTTCTGATGTGAAAAGGAATGACTACGAATACCGATTAGAGACTGGGCCAGTGACCATGACCGTGACATACCCATCTAGGACCTGACAGGGTGGGGAGGACACAAGCCTGCAGACATGCAATTTTGCAAATAGTGAATTTTAAGAAAAAAAAAAAAAAACTGTGTTCTCCTGAGTGAGGAAACTAAAACATGTCCGAGGGCTTCACAGCCTCAAACACACATGGCAGAGTATAATGCCGGGCAGTGGGGACACCAGCCCACAATACAGTGCTCTTCCTTACTGCCGATGGATAAGATGATCACCCCTCACAAGGATTTTTAATGCCACCATGTGCTGCTGTGGCCATCACATCACCCCCTTCCCCAATTGGGACAAAATGGGACATCATCCACCAACGTGAAATAACCACTGAAACACAAACCAAACTTATTCCAGTTCAACAACATTGAACCACCAACCTATGTTTGCAATCGATGAGCTCAAATTGCGGGCAGGCCATACTACTTTTCAGAGGACGCATGTAATGCTTAGAGACAACCGATCCCCATCAGACTGCCTGCTGTACAGGTGGCCCAAGATGCAGCCACAACAGGAACCCCGGTCATGGTCCTTGGGGTGTCTGGTTTCTTGAAGCAGTAGGAAAGCAAACGGTAACTGTTCTCGACCCCACCACCCTTCCCCTCACTGGGGTTCAGAAGACAGAAGCGGCAGCTCAAGACACCTCTGCTACATGTACCTGGGGCAGAGGCAACAAAAAGGGAAAAAGCAAGCCTGAAGGTTTGATATACCATACCCTTAAGACATTTTTGCTGTTTCGCAGTGAATCTGGCCCCTTGGCATTGGTGGGGAGGGCGGGTGGTTGCAGGAGGCAAAAAATAAAAAAAATAAACCTACATAGTAGTCAGCCTCAATCCTAACCGCCCCCATCTCTGCACCTCCTTGCCTGGGTCCAGTTATCCTGGCTTGTCCATTCAGCAGTTGACTCCATCCTAATGCCACCCAGACACAAACAAAATCACGCAGCACCTTCGAGTTGCCTCTTCCGCTGTATCCTAAGCAAGCTGGCCACATTGATAGAAGATACCAGATGTGCAGGGAGGCTACTCGCCAAATACAATGGAGTGGGTTGTTAGCTACGACTGCTGTGACTCAGAAATTTAGACTGTTATAATAGAGAACAGTTTTAAAAATGTAATACTGTTTATTTAACTTCAAAAACATTTCAGCATTCTAAACATACAAAAAAATAACAGAACGTTGCAAATCGTGTTTAGTACAGAAGGTTCTTGAACTTTCATTGATGCAGTGGCTCTTTCGCTTTGCTGACAATGAAGAGTTCCACAGTTTGTTTAAAAACAAACAGTTTAAAACTACCGCACTGAACTAAAAAGGATCCAAACACTTCTCATGCCAGCTGACCCCCCCCTTCTCCACAGCTACGAATGGCAGCAGAATGCTAGGTCACTATATACAGAAACAAGACAACCTGAAGCTAAATGGATGCCCACTGCAGTGTCCACAGGTCCAGCCTCACAGTGCACGCCCTGAGCTACAGCCCCTCCAAAAGGCATCTTCCCCACAGCCTCAACGCCAAGCAAGGAGCATCAAGAGTTTGTCTCGGTTGTTTTGTTCTTTTTTACAAACTATAGATATGTACAGTTGATAACTCAGGATTTCTAGCCAATAACCATATAGTTAACACCACCTTACAAATCAAAAAAAGAAAACGCCAGGAACATCTTTAAATGCCTTGTCACACCAACAGCAAAGTGCACAGAGTGAGGAGAACACGAGAGCCTTTTCATTTTAAAAATGTTTGGAAATATGTACAACTTTGATACAGTTTCAGGGTGCTCTGGACACCCATGGCCACTTCATGTAAACCACTGACAATTTCTAGAGCACTTTGAGAAACTACAATATGACCATGACCCAATTGTGTGATTAAACCTAACGAGGGCAACAGACACGCCCTCCAATAAGAGGGGTGTCAATGTCAATGACGGCGCTCCCTACTCTAAGGTATTCACAAGGAGACAGATCAACAGTTTCTTTTATTCATCCTCCTCCTCCTCCTCCTCCTCCTCTTCCTCCTCCTCATCTTCTTCATCTTCCTCTTCCACCTTTTTCCGGGCAACTTTGGCGGGACCCTTCGCGCCATCAAACTTTCCTTTAGACTTATAGTCGGCGACATCCTGGAAGGAATGGGGACACATTCCACATGAACAGACAAGCTCTCCTGCAGCTGTTTTAGCAAAGGCTAGAAACATGCTGTCCCCACCTCAGAACTGAAAACAACTGAGTAAGATGGGGCTGCTATCTGAAGTATTTGTTTCCAGATACACACAAATCTGGTTCTTGGCCGCTGGAATTTCAACGTTGAGGGGTGTTTAACAGGACTATCAAACGCTCTGCCCAGGGCATCCCACACGTTAGCAAATTTTTAAGCCTGCCTGCGACTGTCCCAAAGACAAAATTCTACAGAGAAGCCTGAACAGCAGCAGTTGCGGCCGACCTTGCTGGAAGATGGGCCCTGGCACGCTAGGCTCACTCCTCAGCTCAGCAAAGCAGCACACCCCCAGCCCATACCCAGGGTGTAGCCTGGGGTAGCCTGGGCACACCCGGGCCCGTCTCACCTTCTCGTACTTCTCCTTCAGCTTCGCTGCCTTATTGTTGTAAGGTTGCTTCTCAGCGTCACTTAAGTTATTCCACATCTCGCCCAGCTTCTTTGCCACGTCTCCAATGGAGATACCAGGGTTTGTGGATTTGATCTTGGGGCGGAATTCGGAACAGAACAGGAAGAATCCAGACCTTCGGGGAGAGAACTGTATAAATTAGAGGCGAGCCTAAACTAGGAGCTTAAGCCAAAATCCTTGTTCCTCACCTACTTACTTCCTACCACTAGGACCGCTCCGTAAGTGGAGAAATGTATGATACCGTACACAATGTTACGAAGTTGTAGGTTCTAAGTTGTGTTTAAGATGCTCCAGAAATACACTGTATTTTCTCAGTCTCTCAGTTACCGGAGAAGCGGAAGAAAACATACCTAAGGACCCTGACAGTCAGAACTCTGGTGCGTCCCTCCCAACAGAAAGGCCGCAAGCAACCGCTGCAAGCACACGGCTCACCAGTTACCTCAGCCTTAACATCGCACTTCCCTGGCACAGCACCTTAAAGCTCCAAGTACAGAAGGCGTGGCAGGGTTATCTTAACACCTTTAGGCAACATGTCCTCTTAAAAACCCTTTGAGTAGAAGGAAAGCTCTTAACTGTTACCCTGAACCCTACAGTCACTTACGGTGGCCTTTTGGGGGCATTAGGGTCCTTCTTCTTCTTGCCTCCCTTAGCTGGTCCATAATCCTTCATCTCCCGGTCGTAGCGCACTTTGTCTGCCTTTGCCATTTCATCGAATTTAGATTTCTCCTTCCCAGACATAGTCTGCAAAGAACAGGACCTGTTAGGTTCCTCAGTGCAGTGAGCAGGACTTAAACCCTTGTCCAGCTTTAAAAAAGAAAAAAAAAATAAAAGCACACACACAATTCTAAAGGCAGGCAAGAGGACCCCAGGAGCGAGAGAAGAGCCACCTGGGGCTCCTCAGAAGGTGAGGAGCCCCATGTGTGAACTCCAAGCAAGGCTGGCTTGAAGGACACGAAAGAGAAGTACCTTCCACCTCTCAGAGCACTTCTTGGAAAATTCTGCAAAATTGACAGGGACTTCTGGGTTTTTCTTCTTGTGTTCCTCTCTGCATGTCTGCACAAAGAAGGCATAAGCAGACATCTTGCCCTTTGGTTTCTTGGGATCACCTTTAGCCATCCTGACTGTGATGGATGAAGGGAGAGAGACAAAGAAAACAAATACAATGACTAGAACAGACCTTCAAGATACACTAAAGGCAGGACAACATCCAAATTAAGGTCACCATTCGGAAGCAGCACACCTCCCCACACACGCCATGCCTGATGCCACTGGCAGCCGAAGACAGAGTGGGGAGGAAATCAGCTTCACTGTTGCTTGTCATTTAACTTTTGACCAGCATGAAGCGCGCTGGTTTGCTAGTTACTTCTCGGAGAGTGAGAGCGATCAAGTTCTCCAAATGGAACCGACCCAACTGGGGTGGCTCAGCGCTACATTCCGATTCAGAGCTACTACGTTTTGGAAAGTACAACCAGAGAGTGGAAAGGGCGCAAGGAGGACACATTTGTAGGGGTGCAGGCGGATGACAGAAGCTTGAGACCCATGACTTAAGGCTAGCTGTCAACTGTTTAACTGCTCCGTTACAGACTCAAAAATCCTGTCACTGCTGCTAAACACAAGATCAAAGCAGGAGAACTGCAAATAGGCAACATTTCAAATTTCACTATTGTTGATGCATCCCGGCTTCTAAAAATGGCTTTTGCGAGAAAGGTGATCTGGCAAGTGAGCAGCTATCCCTGTACTATGAGTTCGAATCTGTCAGTTTGTCATTATCTGAAGGGGGAGGGGATGCCAAAAAGGCTAGTCTTGCTCATCTGTAAAGCGGAACGCACGTCCAGCCAGGAATACTTTCTACAAAGTTTCCAAATAAAAATGCAGCTGTGGCGTGTCATCGTCCCTGTCCCACCCCCCAGCTTCCCGCCATCTTTTCCTTTTCCCACACCCAAGGTCATCATGTAAAACTAAAGCGCTCCCCTTCGCAGGGGCCAACTGAGGGGCTGCGTTAGGGCCCCGCAGTAGCTGCGCGGGTGGGGCGGGACGGGGCGCAGGGGAGCCCGGGGCTGGCAGTGGGCAGCCGGGCCGGGCCCCGTGCTGGGTCACCCGGACACCCATAATTCACCTTCCATTTTGTCAAAAGCTTCCTGATGAAAGAAACTGCCCCTGAAATCCCCCGCTGCCACCCTCGGGGGGCGCGCGGGGCCGGGGGCGGCGGTGGCAGTGGCGCGCCGAGGGAGCGGAGCCCGGCCGGCAGCGGCAGCGGCGACGGTGGCGCCCGCCGAGCCTCCGAGCCCCGCTCGCTAAAATGGCTGATCCGCGCGCGGCCGGCGCGGGCGGCGGCAGCGGCGGCGAACAAAGCGGTCCGGGCCCCGCCACCGCCGCCGCCGCCGCCGCCGCCCGCGCCGGCCCCCACC